CAAGCCATAACTTTTAAAAATATAACTCGTATTTTAAAGATATTATATCTTAAAAAAAATTCATCATATCTCCAAGCCAGACACACTCTACGCAACCAAGCTTTCGAGGGTATCATGGCCTGCATTGACTCGCTGTTGTCCAGCTTCAAATCAATGTCCATTCCCCTTGACCTGTACCAGAAAACCGAACATGGTTGTTTGCGAAGATAATCCCTTCGTTTGTAAGATTAAGGATTATTTTTTATACTCCATGTCTAGTTCATGTTTTCTTCTCTGGTTCTGCTGTACTTTGTCCTTGGTCCTGTCAGCATGGAAAGGAAATAACTGTGAAGTCGCTGCTCAATATTTCAAGTCAACCTGCAGATATTGATGGTTCGAACTTTCCTAACGTGTAAGATAGTAGAAAATAATCTCTACTCATCTTCTGTCGTGAATACTCCCTCTGAGAATTGAATTACTAGTTTAATATCTCTGGAATGTAATCCAAAAACATGACTGAATTAATTAACCTGGTCAAGTGAATTCCAATGATTTTTTTAACTGGAATAATATCATAAGAATGTTTTTTAGAATTAATTTGGATTAACTTACTAATTTATGACTCAAACATTAAACTACATTTGAAAATTTATAACTCTATACCAACACAAGGGTGTAAATAATTTATCTACAACTCAATTCTAAAATACTTAACATGATCGAGAGAATGAAATATATAAAAATACAAATAATATTGCTAAAAAATAGACTTTGATTTAATGGTACAGAATAATTAAATAATGCTCTAGCCATTAGCTTCCTTCTCCTCTTATAAAAAATTAATTTCTTTTTAATTTTATTTCTTTTTTCAATTCTCTACTTGGATTTTTTTAATAGTTGTATGAGTTATTTTTGTATTAGTTATGTTAATTGGATCACTTTGAAAACAACCCCACATGATTTTATTTTAAATTCAAGTTAGATAAAAATATAATTTTTTTTATCAATTTCATATATATATTTTTTAATTTTTTAAAATATTTTTTATAAAATAATTAATTTTTTTTTAAATCATTCAAATTAATTGAGTTATATTACTACAAATTTTATATAGTTTAATTTTTAAATAACACTTGAATCAAAACAAATAATTCCTTACATGCTAGGTATTTTTTATTATATTAAAAAATATCGACACAAAACATAATATTGCAGAGCTCGTAAATTAGCTGAAACTAAATGTCATGCTCACACGATGTTGTTGGCTTGTAGCATATTTATGCATTGTTATGTGTTTGTGAACACACACACACATAACTGTTGCAATCTACATATTTTTAATGAAAAGGCTACAATACTAAATTCTTAACCAATTTAATATTAAAAAAATAAAATTAACAAAGAAAATCTTGAAACAATCATAAAAAAATAAAAGAAAAAAACTATGCAGGTAAACACCACAACAATCTATAGCGTTTCATGATGAAATATATACTTGTAATCTTTATTCAACTCAATATTAAAAATAATAAAATTGATAAAGATAATTTAAAATAAACCATAAAAAATCACTTGGGGGGACATTGTAGCATCTATAGTGTTTTTAAGAAAAAAATACGAATTTAATTTCTCAACCAACTCAATATTAAAAAAATAATCGATAAAGACAGTTCTAAAAAAAATCATAAAAAAACATATGGGGAAAACTGTAGCATTCCACGGTGTTTTAAAGAAAAAAACTACAAAGTTAAACACTCAACTAGCTCCACATTAAAAAAATAAAATAAAATAAAATAATTCTATAAAAAAACACAAAAAAAATAAAAGAAGAAAAAGAAGAAGACAATTTTGGAAAAAATAAACAAAATAAAAAAACAAGTAGAGAAAGTTAAAGGTAAAATCTCAATCAACTCCATATTAAAAAATTTAGACAAAAATAATTTTAAAAAATATATGGAAAAACATTGTAGTAAAATAAAAACTATATGAAAAATATTGTAACAATTCACAGTATTTTCTTAAAAAACATATGGGAAAACATTGTAGTAAAATAAAAACTATGTGAGAAATATTGTAACAATTAACAGTGTTTTAAAGAAAAAATCTATAAAGCAAAATTCTCAATTAACTTAATATAAAAAAATCTATAAAGTAAAATTCTCAATTAACTTAATATAAAAAAATAAAATTAATAAATATCATTTTATAAAAAAAAATCATAAAAAAAATACTGGAGGGAGCCATACTAATGCTCACCTTTTCCTATATAACTAATCCTTGCTTCGCTGTAAATGGCCGAGCTACCGTAATATGTTACTTCCATTGGATTAAATAACACAACGAGTATTAGAGTTAGTATAAATAAATAAATAATAAACAAGTTTCGCTGCCATATTTTATTTCAATTTTTTCTTAGGATCAAAGCATGTATCAAAAGGTTTAGGTTTATTGTAGTAATTCATAATATTTTAAAGAAAAAATTATAATACTAAATTTTTAACCAGTTTAATATTAAAAAAATCAATAAAAATAATTTAAAAAATAACAAATAAAAAATAATAAAAAAAGAAAATAACCCCTAAGAAAAAGAAAAAAAATGTAAAACTAAAAAAAATGGAGGAAAAAAAGAAAAAAAATACAGGGAAAAAATATATATAAAAAACTAAAATAAAGAAAAAAACTTGTAAAAAAAAAACTATAATACTTTCACTCCATTGTAACTGGGACAGCCAAAATGTTCAACAAATCCAGTGAAAGTCATGCCCCTAATTTCTTATCTGACGTGGGAACAGAGTTTTCTGACACCATTAAGCATTACCAAAATTAAAGGGTCTAATCTCTAATCTAATCCTAATCCTATTCCATATAATCTAGAGCTCTATAGATAGAAAACCAAGAATGAAAAAGAAAAACAAAAGAAGAGAAAAGAACGAATGATCTCTATCATTCAATCCCATGTTCCCGATCTCTCTTCTCTTCTCTTCAACCCCCACACCCTCATCCCCTCCATCAATTTCCACACACAATCCCCTTAACTTCTCCTCCTTTCTTCAATGGTAACGACATTCACTTTTTAGTGTTTTGAAATTTTGCATCACCAAAACATCCTTGAAGCTCACAACTTTCATGCACATATACCCATGTTGCAAGAAAAAAGTAAACACATATTTGTTTAATTCCTGTACAAAATACACGTACATGGAAAGAATCTTATTCACTTTTCTTTATCAGAGATGAGAGCATAAAGACTCAAACTTTCCCTCTGATTCTGATCCAATAAAGGGTTCTCTTTTGACTTGAAAAACTCACCTCCCAAGATTTGTAGAGAGAGAAATTTTGGTTTTTGTTTAGAGAGAGTGGGTTTTTGTTAATATTTATTATTACGTGGAGATAATTTGATCGAGAAAGAGAGAAATGTTGGAAATGGAGAGGGAGTTTGATTCAAAGTTCAGAATTCAAAGCGGCGATCATCCTTCTTCGTCATCAAATAACAATAATGGGAGCGTGCAGAGATCTAAAAGCTTTGCATTCAGAGCACCTCAAGAGAATTTCACTATTCATGATTTTGAGCTTGGCAAGATCTATGGTGTTGGGTCTTATTCAAAGGTTTGATTTTTTTTTTTCGTTTTTTCTTACGTGGGTTTTGTTGGTCTGTTTTGTTTCTTATTCTAGATTGGTGGTTTGTGTTGTTTGGTTATAATTATGACTAAAGTTTGTATCTTTCATTCATCTTTACTATCATGGGAATGTATTTGATTTATAAATTTTAAGCCTATGCTCGTACTATCATGATCTGATAGCAGCTTGTAAATCTAATTTGTTCCCTGTATAATAGAAGCCTATATTTAGGAGCGACAGATGTATATTTTTGAGTTGTATGAAGAATGTTTTTGGTTCTGGCTCGAGGGAGAAATTTCATTTGAAGGGTATTATGGTTTGGCGAATTTGAATTTCTTTTGTTTGGTTTCCGGGAAAGTTTATTGAAGACAAGCAAACGAAATTTTAAAACTCTCCCGTAATTCTGTCTCTACTTCTAAGAAAACGAAGCTCTAGGTTCGTTTTGATGCTGATATCGTTGTCTTTTCTCGGAAGCCAAATGGAACATCAGAAGTCTTAGTAGGTTTATTTAATTCCCTCTGGGAGCAACAGTCTTACTCGTACAAAGTGTAAGCAGGGCCTTGTAGTTGGTTGGATGGTTGGTTTTGCTCATGTTATAGGTGACAGGAGAGAGCCTTAGCATATTGACCCTTTAGTTGCACCCTATTATGAGCTAATCTCCCCCTCCCTCAAATGCCTCACTCTGAGGATTTCTGATGAATGTTAATGGGAAAATGAATTTTGTTATGGATATCATGTAGCTCTTATATTCCAGCTCCCTTTTTTGCTTTTGAGCTTCTTCTAATGAATGCCGAGTATCAAAACTAATGGACTTATCAGGTAGTGAGAGCAAAAAAGAAGGATACAGGAACAGTATCTGCCTTGAAGATCATGGACAAAAAATTCATCACCAAGGAAAATAAAACAGCTTATGTTAAGCTAGAACGCATTGTGCTTGATCAATTGGACCATCCTGGAATTGTGCGGCTCTTTTTCACTTTTCAGGACAATTATTCGCTGTGTAGGTATCTTGGTGGCAATTCATCCAAGTTTCCATGTTCTTGGAATTGATTTTTTTTCTTTAACAACACCTCAAGTTTTTTTTTTAAGTTGGTTTATCATTTGAGGTCAGTCTATTTTGATTCTGTTGGGCAGATATGGCACTTGAATCCTGTGAAGGCGGAGAACTTTTTGACCAAATAACTAGAGTGAGTACCTATTAAGAACTTTTCTGCGTTCTTTATTCATTTTGGAAAAATAAATCCTACAGTTTGTCCTAGCTGTTCCCAATCTTTTCAGAAATCACAGAACCCAATATCATGAATTTTTGAAACATTTTGTCTTATAAAGTTAGAATTTGTAATTTGCATTGGTGCCTAATGCAATAAATTTTTTCTGTATTCTTGTATTATTTAAGAACTTCACATCATTTTGGATATATATAGAAATTAACATATGGTTTTCATCTTCCATATAGCTTATATTCAAATAAAGTTGCTCTTGAAACACTTTAGAGCGATTGCATAATGCAATGCACATTTCTTTATTCAGATAATATTCAGCAGAATGTCCTTCATTTGTTTTTGCAGCAAGTGATTTATTTTGTTATGAAATATCTATTTTATTGTCTCTGCAGAAAGGCCGTTTATCGGAGGATGAAGCTTGCTTTTATGCTGCTGAAGTTGTTGATGCTCTTGAATACATACATAGCATGGGATTAATACATCGAGATATAAAGGTAATTTCCTAGCCCATAGCTCCTTTTTCTTTATTTGGAAACTGAGCTAAAGGTCTTTTGAATGGCAGCCGGAGAATTTGCTACTTACTGCAGAAGGACACATTAAAATTGCTGATTTTGGGAGTGTGAAGCCCATGCAAGATAGTTGCATTACTGTCCTTCCAAATGCGGCTTCAGGTAATACTAGAACTTATCATCTACAATTGTTCATTATGATCTTTTTTTTTTATCTGCATGTTATTTTTCTTGCTTTGGTCCTCTGTTCAGATGACAAGGCTTGCACATTTGTGGGAACAGCGGCATATGTCCCTCCAGAAGTCCTTAACTCTTCTCCTGCAACTTTTGGGTAAGTGACTCCACATAAATCCAACCAGATAAATTTTATAATTGGAATAAGTTTTAGGTGTGTTGTTCCCTTTGTGTTGGGGTGAGGGGGTGTCGATATTGTTCTTCATGGTTGAGCTTATTTCCAATTTAATGAAGTCTTGGGTATGGAGAATAACCTTTTTTCTCTTTTGACCGCATTCAAACAGAAATGACCTCTGGGCACTCGGCTGCACTTTGTACCAGATGCTTTCAGGGACTTCTCCTTTCAAAGATGCAAGTGAATGGCTTATATTTCAAAGAATTATTGCCCGGGATATAAGGTTTCCTGATTATTTTTCAGGAGAAGCAAGAGACCTCATCGACCACTTATTAGTAAGCTACAAAGATTTTGTACATTGGACTTTAGATTTTTTTCAAGCTCACTGTTTTTTGGTGAATGATCCTTCGTTCTCCTTTTTGTTCTATTCTATATCTATAGATAAAACATCCCTGCTTGGTCAATGGTAAGAGCTTTGCTATTGCAGTACAAGCATTTCCAGATTCAAGTTTTGAGATCATATTACATGACTATAGTTTGGTGTGGCCTTTTACTCATTAAAATCGCACAGTAACAATGTCTAGGAAACCCATGGGGTACACTCTACTACATCTGATATAGTGGGTTTCAGGATGATCTAGAGGTCTGGGAACAGGTTGGAGGATGTGTGGGCTTACTATCTTTGTTTAGTGCATGGATGGATCCAAGGGGGGCTGGGGCTGAGCTATCCCCTGTCCCCACTAAACATTGTAATTTAGCCCTTTACTTTATGTTCAAGAAGATATTACCTTGGCCCCTCAAAATGAAATCTTTTTGGTGATTTACAGCATCTATTTGTTTGTGTTAACACTGAATGCCTGGATGTTAATGCGATTACACTTTTGAGGCACACGACTAATGACAAAGGACAAGGTCAAATCATGGTGGTTCATGGTAGCTGGTCTCCCTTGGAATAAGATGTGAAATTTATAAGCCTTAACCTTATGAAGTTCGTGATTTAGGCCTTTGATCTTCCATCTTACAATGTTGTAGGATATAGATCCCAGCAGAAGACCTGGTGCTGGCCGTGGTGGGTATGCTGAGCTCAAGAACCATCCCTTCTTTGAGGGAGTTGACTGGAAGAATTTAAGAGGAGAAACCCCTCCTAAACTTGTTTCGGAGCCAATGGTATGACAACACTACTTTAAAGTATTATGTGCGAAGGATTTCAAAATTCCTTTGCATTTTTCTTCTCCAGGCTAATAATATTTAGATTTCTAATCTCTTTCCTTACTCATGTACCAGGTGCACTCAGGTGACAGTGACCATGACTCTGGGTCTCCATATAACCCTGCACGTGCTGGAGACAGTTCTGTGACACAAAATGATGGAAATGCTGGAGTATCATCATCTGCTGAAGCAACGGCTCACATAACTAGACTTGCTTCAATAGACTCCTTTGATTCCAAATGGTATTGGCTTAACACCTTTTACTCTTTGCACATGTCTTGCCTTTATACATGCCCCTTTTCTGCTTCTGTCTACAAGTCTGATTCTTTGCATGCAAAATATCTTGGCTTAAACCTTGTGAGATATATTTTTTGAGATTCTTGTTGTTGCCTAACACGAGTCTTGGAAGTTAAAAGAATGCGCAGAGGATATGGTTCTACTCAACCACTATCCAAGTTTGAACTAATTTTTTTATTTAAGTTTGTTGGATTCCTTGTCTTGTGCACCTAATCAATTCCTTCGATTTATGTAACCTTGGAGTTCATGCTTGGAGTAATTCAAGTCAAGGAAAGATGGACTTTCTTCTGAACTCACAGAGGATATGTCTTGACATACTGGACTGAATTGGAATTTTTTCTGTGTTCACTTTACACTCTTCCTGAACCTAAAGGATGATTTTGACATAAAAGTTGAAGCAATTTTTTTTTACTTTGACCTCTAGGAAGTTGACCATTTAACATCACCAAAAAGCTGGTACAGCTTGTTTCTTGGAAGAAATTTAAATGACTAGTCCTGTGGATGCAGAGGGCCTTTAGTCAGCAATATAGGTTGACTTGTGTTGGTTGATTTGCTTCAATCTTCTCAAAGCTTCAAAAGAATGCCCCTATGAAGTTATTTTAATTGACAAATCTTAAGTGGTGGTTTTTGTTTTCCCTCTTCTTTGTTTCCAGACTACTTGGAAGTATGTTTAACATGTAGGATATCCATGTTACCAGGCAACAGTTTTTGGATCCAGGGGAATCTGTTCTTATGATCGCAATGGTGAAGAAATTACAGAAACTGACGAGCAAGAAGGTGCAGCTTATCCTTACCAACAAGCCAAAGTTGATTTACGTGGACCCTTCAAAGTTAGTGGTGAAGGGAAATATAATTTGGTCTGACAATTCTGATGACCTGAGCGTCCAAGTAACAAGTCCTTCACATTTCAAGATCTGTACGGTATGCCTCTTTTACCATGTCATTTCACTGATTAGATCGTTGGCGGTTTTTTCATTATAAATCAGTGCCATATTCAAACCTGGGTGCCATTTCATGGAATCTCGGGCTCTCAAAATGATGAAAATGCATAAATAATTTGATTTTAGGAGTCCCGACCTCCGCTACATGGCTTTTTGACCCTCTTCATATACAGTGATGGCTTGATTAAAAATTCCAACTACAGGGGATTTATTCACCAGTTTATATCCCTTCATTCCCTCCACCCTTCAACCCTCTGCATTTTCCCATCATTTTTCTGACGTAGTTATGTGCTCATTCAGCCGAAGAAGGTAAGGTCATTTGAAGACGCCAAGCAGAGAGCATGGCAGTGGAAAAAGGCAATCGAGAGTCTTCAAAACCAATGAAAATCTGTTTGTGGATGTGACAAACATTCTTTTTTTGTTTTGATATAGCCGAGGAACTTCGGGATTCTTAAAACTGTCGACACCACAAACGATTATTTATTTTGTGGAAGAGATTCGAGTAACAAGTTTGGCATCTTCAAGGTGCTAAGCTGCCCCATCAAGCTCTCCCCATCCCACTTGCTTAGAACTAGCTTTGCAATGGGGGCTTCTCTGTGTTTTATGCTTTTAATGGAAGAAATGTACAACGCAAGTCTTGATTGCTGGGTTTGTAGGGGAGACAAGGGTTCACGACTTACTGGATTTAAAGTTCCAAGCCACTAATGAAAAGTATGAGATATTTACAGGTGAAAATTTATCCTCACCATGCCTTGCGTGCAGATTACGAGGTCTACCATGACTGGATTTCTTCATGGAAACATGTCCAGAAAATTAAGAATAAAATAAAATAAACTAAAAATACTGACGTAATCTGAGCAAATAAACATTTTGATAGCTACTGTTGGAAAAACCCAAGAGGTACATACCAGCAAATTCGCCATCGGTAAAATAGGACGAGGACGTATGCTTGGTATGTAAGGCTCGAGTTCCCAAGAGGTAGCAGCTGCAAATCACTTCTCTCTTCAAAAATTCAGAAACCATAACTTGAAATCTTTTCATCTCTTGATTCGAAGCGCCTGCAAGTATGATATATAGCGCTTGATTTTACACGTTAATCCTTGTTTGTATTAGCTTTAAATTTAAGAGCAATCGCATCTCTCACTCAATTAAGGATATCCCCTCCCAGATGTTTCGCATTTAAAAATAAAAGTTCTGAATGAAGCAATCTTGATTATTGATTTAGTTAATTCCAAGTTAATTTAAAACTATATCCTTTTAATAATTTTTTTAAAAAAATTAAAATACCATCACTTAGAAAAAGGTAAAAAAATAATTTTTATTTGAAAAATATGAAAATAATATTTTTTAAAATTTATTCTTAACATCAACACATCAAAATAATTTAAAAATATAAAAAAAATAATTTAAAACTATAAAAATTCAAAAATACAACTATATTACAATGCCGAACATCATCTAAGTAAAAAAAAAAAGGTTGCCTTCCTCTCAATTGTATCATTTGCTCGTTTTCCGCTCTAAGATATGTGGAGCCTAGTTCTTTTGGCCTAAGAATTTTGTTGCCTAGTTGCCTTCTTTGCACTATCTAAAAACCAGATGCTGGGAGGTCGAAGAAACCGTTGGAGACTACAAAATCCACATGACAAATTTTAAACCATGGGGGCCGTAATGGCTTTTTTTTCCTCCAGTAATCTCCCTCACATTTAAAGTCCATTTGTTCGCAAAGTAACCACAGCATAGGAAGCGTTTGGTAATGTTTCAAAAACAATTTTCTACTGATAGGGTCCACCATCAACTACATCATAACCATAAGTTTATGCAACTCTTCTTATATTGAAAAAACTCATGAACAGTGAAGCCGTGATTTTCCTTGCATGAAATAGTAGAGTTCTACCATTTTAGCTCGACCGGTCCGGTTCAAAGCTAAAAATATATTGAATCGAGTTTAACTCAATAAAATAAAAAATTATTTTTTATTTTTTATTATTTTTTATTTAAAATTTTAATGTTAAATATTATTTAATAACATTATATAAATTAGATGAAAATTACTTAATGACATAGAATTTGCAAAATTTGATTGCAATTTCAATTTTATTCCTAATTATATTTTACCTAATGTTGTTGCGCTCTTAAGAAATTTAATGAAACAATAAAAAAATATTTTATATAAAATATTATTTATTTCATGATATAATAATAATAATTAAATCTACAATATTTAAATTATAAACCATTAATATTAATATATTTTTTAAAAATTATTTTATAATCTCAATTTTAAAAGCATTCTTAATCAAACATATTAAATTACTTTTTATTTAATTTTAATTTCAATTACAGTTTTAACCAAATTTATATTCTTCCAAACCAATCTCAATTAAAATTTTTTTTATAATTTTTATTTTTAAATTACAACCATAACAACTACCCCATTACAAAACACACTCCTTTACTCACCTTAACTTAAAATGGGTAAACGATTGGACTAGTCATGGGAAAAGGTCAATCCAGGGGAATTCAAAGACAACCGGGGCCAGGTGAAGGCCCTGGCAAATTCTGGGAGTCTCTCATAACCTCGTTGGAGGTTGCATGCATAAAAAGCGTACACGTCTGTTCCCAGATCCCAAGTATACCTTTAATCCCATATTAGGGTCAGGGCACATGAGACTTGAAATACTTGTTTCCTGCAGTCCAAAGGAATTTTTGGAAACAGAATCACTATCCTCGGAACATTGATCAGTGAATTAAATACTAGGATTAGCATTCTGGACCTCTTTGACAGCTAGAGGTTCATACCATCGAGGACCAAATCCAGCAGCTTTCCTTGCTTCCTCGTTAAAGGGAGGCTTCAATGGTCCTCTGAAGTGTGTTCTCACTATAGCATGAAATTTCTGAATCACCTCTTCATTCCCCTTCGTAGAAATTTCAGTTTCCTTGTCTCCATTTTCTTCAGATGACAAGTTGTCTCTACTTGAAGCTGGAGTTTTAGACCTCAAGCATAGATACTTGAACCACTTCACTCCAGCTGCACAATGGGTTATCTCTTCTGGATAAACTACTGTCTTCAATAAATCGGCTGTTTCGTTGTCACCTCCATTGCGGAATCGAGATATGGTTGTTGGCAGCACATCAAGTCCCCTGGCCTGCATGTTAACTGAAATCAATAAATCAAGCAGCATACATGAAAGGAATATTTGGATTATATAAGGCTAAAGTTAACTTCAGGTTTTGCATAAAATTTTGAATATATGTTTTTCTTTGTCCATATGATCCATAAGTTTTGTCATGTAGACCACTTCAATAAAATTGTCGAGTCTACTTCAGCTAAAAGATTCTTTTTCAAAAAACAAAAGGAATTTCTTTATCAGAAATACAAATCTGTGCGTTTATACACCATAAAAACCAATAAAATGGAAGCGGTTTCAACTTTTGATGTTGATGCTACCTGCATTCCATTAACACGAGTTTTTGTTTTTTTAGCTCACATTAGCAAAATAACCCAGCTAGAAACTTATTTATGAAAGTAGAAAATTTCATTGAGACGCGCATGTGTCACATGCACAAGCTTAAAATTGCAATGGCCCGGGATTAAGCAGATAATAACATGCACAACCTTTAAATTTGACACGTCTCAATGGACTTTGCTATTTTCACAGATAAATTTCTAGGTGCGCTATTTTGCAAAATTGTTTTCGCAACCGTGCTAATTAAAAAACAATAAAATCTTCAAACAAGGCAGAGAGTAAGTGAAAAAACAAGCATGCACCTCGTGAACACAATGCTCTATTGCCAAACGACCTAAAAGGTCCTTTGAAGTAGCAATGGCTGAGTCCCACAAGCCATCATGAGCTGGTAAAGCCCCATAAGAAGAACCCAATTCTTCAAGCCGTTTTGCAAGAAGAGTAAAGTGTCTGCCCTCATCTTGCGCAACCTTCACAAAATCCGTGAAGAACTCTCTTGGCATTCCCTCTTGCTTACCAAACCGAGCAATTATATCCTACAACAATCTCCTTCATAAATACAATAACAACACCAAATTATGAAGCCAGAGAGAGAGAGAGAGAGGGTACCCAAGACAAGTCAATAGCCCAACTTTCAGTATGCACGAGACTATGCACAATAGCCTGCCTACTCTGCAAGCTACCAGCTTTCCCTAGCTTCGGCATCAAACTTGGTGAAACCAACCTTACCTGCACCGCATTTCTTTTCACTTAGTCATATCATCGAACATTTAATAAGCATCCAGAAACACCAAGTATAAAAAAACAAGTGCGATACATTAGCGAGCCTGGCGGGGCGATCGGGTACGGGGATGTCGAGGGAAGGGTTGTAAGCCTGAAAAATGGACCCTTGTTGCCATTTAGTAGCCACTAAATCGCCTAGCTTTGCCTTCTCGAATGGGTCCCCTGTGTTGAGTATCCTTAGCGCCGCTTCCACTAGCGTCTCACTCTCTAATTCTGGCTGTCGCCTCATCATCAGTGTCTCTCGTCCCTCTATTTACTCCTCCTATTCTTACTGTTTTATTAGATAGCAATAAGAGAATAGCTATTAAACTGGTACCGGGTTGACCCGGCAAAGAGCCTGAGTTGACTCAGCCAAAAGACCAGATCTACGTTACATCGTTTCACCGAAAAAATTAAAAGAATTAAATTTTTTTTAAAAAATATATAAATATAAATTATACATGAGCTGAATAATAAAATTTAAAATATTATTTGTATTCCAGCTCCATAAAGTTATATTTAAAATTAAAATATAAATATGAATTATATAAAAAAATTACACTGTTACGGGAAACACCTCGACAAGCAAATCTCTTCCATGTCTAACAAACGCGGGGAGTCTAGTTGTATTCCAGCTCTATAAAAGACATGTCGGCTAGTTATTTGTATATTAATATTTTGGTTTTGTTTTAAAAAAAGTTCCGTGGCAGGTGGGACCGAGTCAGCTGATTTATGGGTCGAGCTAATATATTTAAAGTTAATTTTTTTCAAATTTGGTTAAGATCTCGATTCATATGGAGCCTAAGTTAGCCTCCTAAATAGGTTAGATCTGATAAATATTAATAAAAGTATATTATTTTATTAGACACTAATAAGAGTATTTCTAATAACTAAATTAAAATACTTATAGATTATCATAAAATAAAAAATCTTAGAGAATAGTTATTTTATCACTTTAAAAAATAAACATATTTCCTTTTAGAATTATCACCGCTTTTTTAGGGTAGACAAATAAAACTTCACCAAACTTTTACTAAAAACATTTTTTCCCCCGCTGGAGTAGAAAAATAGAATAAAACACTTGAAAAAAAATATTATTTTAAAAAATTAAGGCATTTAAGAGAAATTATTAGTTGATTTTTCACAAGTAATAAAAAAATATAAAAATAAAATATTATTTGAAATGCATTTAAAAAACTAAAAAAACAAAATAAAAAACTCAAGAGTAACTATCAGTTGAAATATTTATAAAATAATAAACACAGAATATCTGAATAATATTAGGAGCTGGAATATTTTTTACCAAGCAAAAGGAATTATTAGTGAAATATACTGGTCTATTTATATCATTTTTTCATTGTTTATTTTATTGAACATGAACAAATTTACCTGCTGCATAATTATTATTATAATAATTAACATGTGGGATAAATTAATGGGTATGATCAATATTTGTTCCAGCAGCGAATTAGATTAGTTTAATAGGTTTGAATTGGGTTAATTAGATTTCATCAACTCT